AGAGTTAAAAAGAAAGTCATGCTAAAACGGCGCTTCACTCCCCCCCCCCCCCATGAAAAAAATAAAATAGATTAGTAGTCCTCCTCTCCAGCACCCCCCCCCCCCCGCTTTAATATCACATTTTCACTTGGCAGCCCAAGGGGGCCGGGGGTGGGAGGAGGGGGTTAAACCCCTAACCCCCCCCCCCCCCGTAGATCTGCCCATGTTACCATATCATTCCACGACATCTTGGTCTTCCTCTTCTTCTCAATAGGGACTTTTAGATTTGCGTGGACGTGGACGTGTTACGTCCTTTTAAGGCACTGGCAGTCACATGTCACGTCCTTTTAAGCACTGGCACTGCCTTAAAAGGAGGTCACACGTTTCAGTCCACGTTCCCATCGTGCAAATCTAAAGGTCCCTAATATTGATTTACTGGTCGAGGTTCATTATTTGCTAGTCATTTGAAATCACCAGATTTCAGCGGGTTAACGCTTTCACAACGAAAAACTTCTCCATGACCATGTTTCTGCCCTTGCGCGATCGCCTCCAGCTCCAGCAGACATAGCGCGGCAGCGTGCACACGTACCGCTACTAAGGGCGCAGTAGGCCTATAACCACTGCTGACGGCGGCACTGCACTGTGAGCTGAATCGGTAATAATAGGCCTACTCATAAAACAAGAAATCTTGCACGCTAATCTAAGTTCCATTTCATTTGAAAATTGAAACTCAATATCGTGTTAAAGTTATACCAGAAAAGAAAATCTTTATATTATAATTCCACGGGGGCGATTTTTAATTTTGCAATCGCCCCCGTGAGCAACCTGACGGGGGCGATTATGTAGCTCACGGGGGCGAATCGCCCACCGCCCCCGTGTATTTTGAGCGCTGGTCATAGCGATTCATCCAAATAAGAAATCCAAGTAAGAGGCATTTTGAAAGTTTTAAGAAAATTCTTTCAAATTCCAGGATATTGGGTGTTCTTTTTCAGGAAACTCTATTTAAACGAGTGGAAGCACTGGCGGTTCTGTTTTTTTAAACTGTAACAATTCTCCTTGGATCAGATATAGACCAAAAACAAGCCTCATTATCTTCAGTATACAAGTGTCATTTCGGACCTTACAGCTTTCATAGAAATCGCTTCTGGACCGTCAAAGAAAAAGTTTGAGAACCCCTAGTCTACGCATTATACACATCAGGACCAACTTGACAAAAATTTGAGGGGGGTTCGACCCCCCTCCCCCCTCCCCCCTCCCCCTCCCCCCTCCACCCCTGCGTATACGCGCCTGCATGTGCATCCCTTCCTCCTTATTCCCTTATCCATCGTTACAGTCACTACCATTTGAGTAGGGCCGGCCCCCTCCTTAATAACGACTCCAAAGCCATCAAGAATGACCCCATAATTTATAGATTACCATTCTGCCGTTCTTTGGAGGGGCCGGGCGCGGCCTTTTCAGAAGTGTTTCTACACTAACCTTTTCATGCACTCCGGCTTAACATAAACAAGCATGCTAAGATTGTTTTGAAAAGAAGCATAATTTCGACTCAGTTTCGCATAACCTAAAAATAAGAATACGGCCAGTCACCCCTTCCCCCCCCCCCCCTCTCCTCAATGCATCCGCCTTCACGCACCCCCCTTCCCTTTGTCTTTCCCTTATTCGTCGTTACTGCCATTGTCACTAATTTTTAGTGCCATTTCGTTGTCTTTCTTTCTCCCCGGCTCCTCTCTTCTTTTTCTTTCCTCTTTTTTGAACTCTCTCTTTCTTTTCTTTACTTTTTTGTTCTCTTTTCTTTTATCTTCTCCTTTTCCCCCCTTTTTTTCCTTCTTTTTTTCTTTCTCTTTTTTCCTTCTCAATTTTTTTTGCTTCGCCAATAGGGGGGGGGGGCCGCGGCCGTTTCGGCCCACCCCTGGATCCGCCACTGTAATGGTAATAATATTCCATAGTTTTTTTATGAAGAGTCTTTACCAATGGTTAAAAGCAATTACAGAAATATAGAATATAGATCATAGAATACGGTAGTCAATATGTACAAAGTATAGCAGGGTCCCATGCAAAGCTCAGGTACCGACATGGCATCATAGTTACGGAGTGTCTGCATAGATTGGAAAGTGTTTCCCCCGAATCTGCACATGTAAACAAACTTCTATCTATGCGTAAGTGGTTATGATAACCATTGAAGGCATTCACTCTTGCAAGGCATTTCATTCAAATCAACTTGATAGGCTAGTGACATAATTATCCTTGAAACGATTTGTTGAAACAACAAACATTTTTTTCTACAAGTAACAACATAGTTTCACCATTTTCGTGATATCATAATAATATGTAGGTTCCCAATGAAAATGGGCTGCTCTACTTGTAAATGTGGGATCACTATAGTATATTATTTGAAGGCGGCAAGGGGTTCAGTATGCACCCCCCCCCCCCCGGACAAAATTCTTACCCCAAAAATAAAATGTAGAATGTAAAAATAAAATGTTACTTTTCAGTTAAGCAAGGACATTGATAATCATTGAATTACTCTCACTCACTTTTCTTCAAAAACTTACTCTTCCCCAACTATATCCCAATTTTTTTCTTGGTTGCTTTCAGAGTACCAGTACGTCTTCCCGTCTTTGTAATAGGGGACCAAGGACGGACATATATGATTTCACTACACTATCAGGAAATTGCTACCCTAGTCTACTCTACCAGCAAAACAGTGTCTATTTCTTTCATAAGACTCTTAACCCCAATACTACTTCAGACAAAAATTGCATGTATGCAAGCCAATTGTGTTTCACATTTTCATACATGCCAACATTTGAAATCAGAAATCTGTACAAATTATGCTATTTTCAAAAAAAAAAAGGAACAATCCTAACTCTCCTATTCAATACTACAGACAAATTTGTACAGGAAGAGGAACACCTGCATTAAAATGATAATTATCTTCTCCCAAAAAGAGGAATGTTCCTCTTTAATCTGAACAGTTGGCATGTATGCATTTTAGGTTATACACAGATGGGAGTTGTTGCTACCTTGTTTTGGCGTTCAACAATAAGGGATAGAGCAACGTCGATCTGGCGCTGCTCAGTGGCTGCCGGGCTCACGATCAATTGGGCAAAAAGAATTTTCGTTTCGGTTTAATAAAGTTTGGAGTGGACTATTACTCTATTATTAAATATTATTAAATTAATCATTTTACATCCTTTATTCCCCTCTCTCTCTGATACACTTGGTGGTTTTATCCATTATTTATCTCTCTCAAGCTGTACACATCATTAGCATTCTTAGTCTATGCTCCCCGTCTCTCTTGCTCTCTCATACTGTATTTATTCTTTTTTTTTTCTCTCTCTCACCATATACACAGTATTAGCATTCTATGCTTTATCCCCCGACACCCCCTTCTCTCTCTCTCTCTCTCTCTCTCTCTCTCTCTCTCTCTCATATGCACTTTCTGTCTTTATCCATTATTCTCTCCTCTCCCATTTTTTTTTCAGATTCAGATTAATTTTCCATCTCTCTCTCTCATTCTCTCTCTCTCTCCCTCTCTCTCTCTCACTCTCTCTCTCTCTCTCTCTCTCTCTCTCATTTACACCATGCAACACAGATGTTTAAACTGCAATGTACAAGTTTCAGTTTCATTTGATATAGAAACATTTATTGACTGTATAAAATACAGCATACATCTTTTCAAGCAGATTTCTAGTGCATGAAATATAATCACATTCACATCATGAACATAGGTTAACTGAAAACAGTTCCCTCAACAGAATGATGAGGAAAAAACAGAGTAACAATCCAATCACAACATTCTCAATGTAAATTGAGGGGGGGGGGGGGGGGGGGAGTAAGAGGACATATATTTCTTATTTTTGTATTTTTGGGGGTCTCGAAATTTGAAAATTTGACTGATCGACATTTTGTTCTGTTGGGGGGGAGGTAGGGTCACCTTTCTTAGGTCACCCATTTGCATTAAAAAAAATTAAATAAAAAAATTAAAGGGAGGGGGGTTTTGCTTCAAAATACACCCCCCCAAAAAAAAATGAAGGGGGGTTTAGCCCCCCCCCCCCCCCTGCGTACACGTTTGCGCATGTGTCACGTAGTCCCATATACATTTTTCTGTGTACAGTGCCTGTTACAGTGCCTGTAACTTTACCAAGACTGGGCCAAATTTCTTATCCTTTTGATGATTCCAGAACCTTGCAGTACACACCAATATTTATATGCTAGATGATAAACCTTTTCTGGTCGATTCCACAACGTTTCTTTCACAATGCAGTCGCATGACCATAACTGGTCTTTATCTTTAACCCTGTAATTTCAGAAATTGACCTCCATGACCTCTGACTTTTGACCTACATATCCCAAAATCTAATCTGGGCTCTGTTACATACAAATTACAACTGGTGGTAACTTTGCTATCAAAATCAATTACCATGGCAACGTCACCAAACAGTCAATCAAATCAAATAGTACAGTTAGCATCAATGCTAAGCTTTATGCAACATGGCCCACATCATCTTCCTATAGAGTACCGAAGCTGTGACATCATAAAAAATATATTTTCAGAATTTTTCAATTTTTACGAAAGAGCCTCAATAATAATGTACAAATGTCGAAAACCAATTGAATATGTCAAGTATTGGCTGAGATATGACCATCTGAATAAATAGAGTTATGATAGTGTTATTTCCTCTGGTCAGTAATTTTATGAACTGGAGCAAATTAACACTGAATTTCAATTAGAAATTTATTTATTCAGAATTTCAGATGGTCATATCTCAGCCAATACTAACGCATTCAATTGATTTTCGACATTTGGACATTATTATTGAGGCTCTTTCCGAAAATGAAGTAAAAATTGAGAAATTCTCAAAATAGTTTTTTGATGACGTCGTGACACTTCACCACTCTATTGTGATACATACTATCACCATGTCTGAAGCTAATACCTGTAGTGATGAACCCTACCCAAATCATATTAGACCATAGGTAAACTTTTTTTACTGAATACCATGTCCCTTCTTCCTTTCTTTGATGTATGCTGATAGTCTTCCCTCAATTTAAGATGCCAAGTGAGAGATAGCAATGTCCATGTATAGCTGCACTGACAGGATGTAAATGGTTCTTCCCTAGATCCAAACACTCCATGGCATTCCTCTCAATCAAAATCTATGAAATACCGCTTTTCCTGGTTCCTTTTCTTGGGGACTCGGTAAGTGGCTCGGTCTGTGATTTGGAAGAAGGTCTAGATTGGGGAAATAAAATATAAATTGGTTAATTCTATTACAATCTATGCTTGATGATTAAAATCAATCATAGTTTAAATTTCTGCTGTAAATCATGACGGTGTAAATCAGTAGATTTTAATCTATAGTCCCATAGTCTTAATACTTTGTTCCAATAGCCATGGGGTTCAAGAAGAAAATCCTCACTACATGAGCTATTCTTAACATTTTCCACAAACGGTACGGTACAAACTGTAATCAACATAATGAAATCAATATCATAATTAGTCACAATCACAGATAAACCTTGTTCTTAAGTGGAGATTTTTCTACAGCATTTGACAAGTTCTTTTGTACTGTAGAGCATAATGTAGAAAGGCAATGTATACCGTACGGTTCTTCCTTGTCCCATATGATAACATATATGTGACAGTGTTACGAAGATTATTTTACGTGATGTTTGGTCTCACCCAAGGTATGGAAAGGGTTGCATTCATAAGAAATATCAATATTTTATGTCATTAGTGACATATGGGTCAAAATGGCTTTGATTACCTGCAGCCATTGCTCGTTCCACACATTCTCGTAAGTGTAGCTGCTGTTTAGCACAAACTCCAGTTAGCTCCCTTGAGAGCACGTTTCCGTCCTTGTCCACAAACTGGCTAAGTATCAGCACATCCTGTTCAATGGCAATGATTTATAGTAGGACAACATCTGAGATTCTGGTATATCTGGTCATTGTATATTATATGAGTCCATAGCTCAAATCAGACAAAAAAAGATAAATTACACATTGGATATCAATTTGTATTCGAAACTACACAATACATGCGTATGGGACAACAAATTACCAGATACACTGGAATTGCCAAATACAAATGGTTCAAGGGGAAATCCACCACAGAAGCAGAGAAAATGGGAGAAACAGGTCAGCGAAAGTTTGAGCAAAGACCGACTGAAAATAAGAAATTTATGAATTTTTGAAGGTGCAATCAAGCAAGCATAAAAAGCTTTAAAATTTCATATTTTTTAAAGTATATCTTAAAGCTTGCCTTCATTTTGTTGTTGTTCGCTGCCAAAGATTTTCTTGTTTTTAAAGATTTTCTGTGTTTAAAAAAAAAATATATCATTGTTGAACATTATACTTGTACTATTCAACTGTATTTCTTCCATGCCCCAGAAGGGGCCCATTACAGAAATAAAAATCATCGGCGTTGTCATTTTCATTGTCATGCTCGATAATGGCGATCAGACTAATGAGTGTTATTTATTTTGTAAACGCATAAACAAACTTTATCAGGAAGTTAAACTCACCTTGTATGTAATGTGTAGGTTTCGACTGCATATCGGGCAAGCACCATGTGGATTATCAATTGGGGAGTAATTGACCCCTGGTTCTTCATACAATGCCTCAATCTGTGCATTTGAAGAGTAAAAGGTCAAAAGGCATTTGATATGGTAGATTTCTTTTATGAACACACACCTGCACATATAATGCATCTCTTTTGCAAAGCTTTTTTTTCTTCTTCAAATAAAACAATGGCTTGTACAAGCATTACACATGTTATCTATTATGAATTTCAAACGTAATCTAAAGAAGTATACCGTGTATATGGAATCAGGGAATAATTTTCCTCAAATTTTTTGATTAGCAATTTCAGCCGATGGATAAATATTTCAAGTGAAATTCTGTACATTTCTATGGAAGAAAACTGCTACACAAAAGATATTTTGTATAGCAGTCAGCGCTCAAAATACACGGGGGCGGTGGGCGATTCGCCCCCGTGAGCTACATAATCGCCCCCGTCAGGTTGCTCACGGGGGCGATTGCAAAATTAAAAATCGCCCCCGTGGAATTATGAAATAAAGATTATCTTTTCTGTTATAACTTTAACACAATATTGAGTTTCAATTTTCAAATGAAATGGAACTTAGATTAGCGTGCAAGATTTCTTGTTTTATGAGTAGGCCTATATTATTACCGATTCAGCTCACAGTGCAGTGCCGCCGTCAGCAGTGGTTATAGGCCTACAGCGGTACGTGTGCACGCTGCCGCGCTATGTCTGCTGGAGCTGGAGGCGATCGCGCAAGGGCAGAAACATGGTCATGGAGAAGTTTTTCGTTGTGAAAGCGTTAACCCGCTGAAATCTGGTGATTTCAAATGACTAGCAAATAATGAACCTAGACCAGTAAATCAATATTAGGGACTTTTAGATTTTAGATTTGCACGATGGGAACGTGGACTGAAACGTGTGACCTCCTTTTAAGGCAGTGCCAGTGCTTAAAAGGACGTCACATGTGACTGCCAGTGCCTTAAAAGGACGTAAAACGTCCACGTCCACGCAAATCTAAAAGTCCCTATTGAGAAGAAGAGGAAGACCAAGATGTCGTGGAATGATATGGTAACATGGGCAGATCTACGGGGGGGGGGGGGGGGGGGGGGGGGGGGTTAGGGGTTTAACCCCCTCCTCCCACCCCGGCCCCCTTGGGCTGCCAAGTGAAAATGTGATATTAAAACGGGGGGGGGGGGGGATGCTGGAGAGGAGGACTACTAATCTATTTTATTTTTTTCATGGGGGGGGGGGGGGGAAGTGAAGCGCCGTTTTAGCATGACTTACTTTTTAACTCTTACTTTCACCTATCTCAGATAACCCTAAGTGGTTGCTGCTTTATATGTAGTTGATAATGCATGATTAAAGTAAAGAGAGAGAGAGAGAGAGAGAGAGAGAACCTCCTTCATTTTGCAATGGTTCAGGGTTCGTGTAATGTACATTTGAAACCATTTCTTAGCGTCTCAACCCTAACAAAATGGCAAAACTATTTTTGAGGAAAAGCATTATACTGAATTAAATAAAGAATAATAGCTTTATTTTGGATCATACTAATACTGATACGGGCTAAAGACAATGTGGTATTTGTATAGAGGTATTCCAAAATGACATTCTGATAATCAACATTTGTTCTGGTATCATAATGTATATACGCATAATACAACTGATCTTTATGATTTCTTAACGTGACATAGCTTCTTTTCCCCCTGCAAACAAAAAAGAAAACAAGGTTATTTAATAAAAGGATCATGCGACAAATAATCATTGTAATTCAAATTGATGCAAGGATTTTTTCGAATAAGCAATGCTTTTCACCAGAATCTTCTTTGTAAAAACGACTTTTACAAATCTCAGCCATGCAAATCTGCCACTTTGTTGTAAGATCACTTTCAGATTTAAATAGGAGAAGTGTATTCTTTAATGAGTATTTTACATTGAATGGAACGTCTCAACTCAGTAAGCATGGCTGAGATTTGTAAAAGTTCTTTTTACAAATAAGATTCGGGTAAAAAGCAGTGCTTATTCAAACAAACATTCGCATCAATTTGAATCACAATCATTATTTGTCGCCAATCCCTTTTAATGACTTTGTTTTCTTTCTCGTTTGCAAGGGGAGAAGAAGATATGTCACGTTAAAGACATCATAAAGATCAGTGTTGTATGCGTATATAATTATATATTATATACACAGGCCAGTAACAGCTATGTAGCTTGTAAATTTGTAAGAGGGAAAATGCTGATTGAAATAATAATGATGAAATAGCAAATAATTGAGGAGTATCATAGGTACCAATTCAATGGATATTTGTATAAAAAAGAGCCCCGTCAGTACTAAAAGAGCCCCCGTGAGAAGGCTCACGGGGGCTCTTTTTGGGGGGGAAGAGCCCCCGTGGACAAAAAATTAATTTGAGCCCTGATAGCAGTCATGCAAAAATGCATAGCAAATTGCGATGCGATACCAGGAAAATTATTCCCTGGGAATCAAGAGCCATTGATGAGTAATCCTGTCCACTTTAAATATTTCATATGTATTTTTAGTGTTTGTTGCATTTGTTTTGTATATATTTATTTTTATCATTATTACGTTGCATTATGTTGTATATATGTTATTTTGATATTGTATGTTTTTATGTATACAATAGGATCCAATTCCAAATACTCAAAAACTGTATGATCATTCTTTTGGCTTATCATAAGTATTGCAACATGTGGTTTAAAAGAGCTGCAAGCTGGAGACACAATCGGTTGGGGGTACACATTTGTGTGTGTTTAATCCAAGACACGCCAGATTGGCTTAAATTGCAGGGAGGCACATACCTTGCATTCCCCCTTGATCCACCCAATCATTATTCATTAAATGATTAACACACAATATGATAGCGGCTAGCCTTACCTCCAATGTATCTCCCACAGCCTTCTCATTAACTGTAAATAAAATCAGAAAAATATGAATAACCCGGTAAACTGATTCACTCACAAATTGATGAACAATAAGAGATGACAATAGTTTAATCAATGGCTACATGCATATACTGGTCCACAGGAAAATAAGATCTACGTGATCATTAAGATTTAAATAGACAATCATATAAAATTTTGTTATCAAAATTTTGGTAATGAGATTTTGTTCGTGATTACACTGTACACCATACTGACGCATATCATATAACTTATGTGTCAAGTAACCTCCCAATTGTCTTTTGGCTTCTGGCCCGATCTCTCAGGGTAGTGACGTAGCAACAGTATCATACTAAGTTGCCTTCTCTCTTGGGCACTACTCAAAACATGTTATGGATAGCACATTATTTTAGACCTGCATGTCTTTCACATTTATTGTTATTATCATGCATTAAAATTTCTGCAATGTTTAATCATTATTATCATTAAGATTATTTTTTAGCCTGGGAGCGCTCTTGCTCATTAGCCCAACTTGCTACATCACAAATGGTACCAGCAAAAAAGCAGGCTCATCAAGGCCGACAAAATGGGTAGCAATTTCATCACTTTTGATAGCAGATTGAATTCTGTAACAATTTTTGAAAAGTAAGCATTTTTAAACGCTGGCTCTGGTACTCAATACCCTTTTTAATTGCGATATATTGACTTTACTATCAGTGTAAGTGTTATACATACATGTATATCAAGCATATTGAATTGAATGACTGTATTTTCAACAGCAACAGCAATATTGCCGCTACAACATTGACAGAGCATGTATTGGCATGTAAATATATGCTGGTAAATGATATATATCATCCAATGGTACTGAATTCGGCTTTAATTTATTAAGAAATGCATAATTATACAAACATGGAAAACAAACATCAAGTTACATTTCTAAAATTATATAATGAAAACTGAGGCCACTTTTGTTGTACCGTAGTAAACTGTATGTTTTCCAAACATACATTCAGAATAAATCTGTCTTATATTATGGGCAACCTTTTATTCAGAACTTAGCAATGCATTTTTTCTTTCACATTTTGAATTACAGATTTATGCAGATTCAACCTCTTATACTGAAGCTTCTGATCAGTTATCTTGACATGGTGAAGCAGCTTGGTAACTTGGATATCAGTGAAAAGAGCCTTTTAGACACAAAGAACTTGTAACAGCAAAACATGTCATTAAATGAGAGAAAGTGCAGTGGAGAAGACTGGATACCACCAGAAGTTTCTTGAAAGATGTGATTTAGACATTTAACTGTACTTCTTCAACCAAATACGAAAGGGCCAAAAATCAGACAAATGGTCGGTAAGGCCCTTATAACTCAATATTGAGTTTCCCGTTGCCTGCCTGCAATGTGATTTTTCGCCTGCGTTGGCGATTGAAAATAATTCATTATTTTTTTATTTTATTCTTTCACTTTTTTTGTATAACTCTTTTTTAAAACTTTTTTTTGTGGTGCAACTTCTAATTTACAGTTGTGACTTGCCCGTTTTTTTTGTTACGAATGGACTTATTTTTTGTCATAGAAATTTTTTTTTTTTTCCTGACTATCGGCTTCCACTGTACCATTAATATTATTTACATTTATCCAATTAAATTCAACATTAGCTTATTTCATTTTTTTATGTATTTTACTGCAAATATGACGATATTAGTCTCCAGACTTGAGCCATATTCATTTTTCTTACAATAAAACCAAAATTGAATTGAATTGATATTATTTTGAAAAATTCCATAATTTGTTTTTGTTATCCTTCTTTCATTCAATTTGGTATGAACAAATTTATGAATATAAAACATTGTATTGCTTCTGGCGTTTCCTTGATCCCATGTCTTTTCAGTTCAGTGTGTGAGCCATTGCAACACACGGTATGATCAGGTTTCTAAATAGCATCATTCATTTGTCAATTGTAATTGTAGACCTTACTTTGATATCATGCCACACAGGACAGATTCTTGAAGGGAAAGCAAATTTATTTATTTAGCTACGATGCTGACAAGTCTTGACGAAATTAACCATATACCGGTATTTATGAGATTAAGGAAAATAACCATGTGCGCATGCGCGGGTGGAGATAGTTCTTAGAAAAAATAGCCCCCAGACTAGCCGGTATCAAAATTCTGCTGTTCCTTCTCTTGTTCATACAATTAATAAGCCTTGATTCTCTCTCTCTCTCTTTCTCTTTGAAAATCGCGCTGAAAATTTTGCAACGACTCAGCCGGCCACTGAAAGGGGGGGGGGGGGGGGTAAGAGCACATTTTAATTTTTTTTTTTGTTCCAAAAATTTGAAAATTAGGCCTACCGATATTTCGTTCAGTGGGGGGGGGGGGGGTTAGGTCTTCTTTCTACTTTTTAGCACACACACACAAAATTTATTTGACAAATAGTGGGGGGGGGGGGGTTATCCTCCTATACCCACACATTTAAAAACCCTCTATAGAGTGGTGAAGTGTGACGTCATCAAAAAAATATTTTTAGAATTTCTTAAATTCTAAAAATTGATTTTTATGACGTCACAGCTTCGGTACTCTATACTATAATAGGGAGGCCAATGCCCGGGCGTAAGGCTTCTACGCCTACGATTTGTGTGCTCGTCGTCCAAGTCAGAAAATTACCAGAAGAAAAAAAACAAAATAAAAATATCTATTGAATAACATATATAACAAAAATACAATTCTTCACTCCTATAAACACGGATCTGTAACGGTCTTTCACCATTTGTTGACGATCTTGCAGATTTTGACGTATTTGAATCCAATAATTGTGGTAGCAGACGAACATAACGCGCACACAAGAGAATCCTAGAGAGCGCAGAGGGTTGCTCACTAAAATCCTTCTCATTGGCTGAAGGTAGAGTCTAAAAATATGGAATCAGTATTAAGTCAAAGAACTTTTGATAGAGATTAACATATCAGATGTGCACAAATGTCACTTTTAACAACTAGAAAATATAAAGAAAAAAGATTGTATCTTTTTAAATACAGATTTTTAAAAACTGCACATTCGCAGGTAGATAGAGTACGATGTTTATGTCAATCTTGCATTGGTTTGAGGCCGATAGCTACAGCCATCTCTAATTGAGAAGGAAAACTGTGAACAGAGATGTCATTGTTCCAGCCCCAAATAGAGGTCTTGCTACATCATAATATGAACTAGCAGGACCCGCGGAAATCCGCGGGATTCTAGAGGGGGGCGGGGGGTGTAAATAGATATATAGAGACTGTCTAAATTAAAACCACCGAGAACTTTATTTGCCATTCAGGCCATTAAAAAAATATACATGTTTAGCGTCCCTGCCCGCTTCCTTTTTGGGGGCCACCTCCTATATATATTTTTTTTTTAAACAGCTTCCCCGCCCGCTTCCTTTTTGGGGGCCGCCTCCTATTTTTTTTTTTTGAAATTTTTTTGAATTTTTTTTTTTTTTTGAATTTTTTGATAGAAAAAAAACAGCGTCCCCACCCGCTTCCTTTCTGGGGGCCGCCTCTCCTATTTTTTTTTTTTTTTGAATTTTTTTTTGAATTTTTTTTTGATTTTTTTTTTTTTAAAAGAAAAAAACATGAAAAGCACTGCTAAAATGTATTTCTGATCTTAAAAAAGAAAAGAAAAAAATTGTCGGCTGCCATCTTGAAAAATAGCCTGAATGTCAGGGAAAATGTACGGAGCAGCCATTTTGAAAGAAAAAAAAAAAAAAAAAAAAAAAAAGGGCCTCCTCCTTCCCATTTTTCAGAAAAAACAGGACGCTAAACATGTTTTTTTTTAATTTTGGCCTTATGTAAAAAAAAAACAAAAAACGATCCAACTGTACCGGTAGTTATTCTTTAAGCCACTGGAACTGCGTAGAGTTCCGTAGTGTGGCGTACCGACTACGCAGAAATTAGGCTGCGTATTAATGGGAAAATAGTCCCTGCGTAGGTTATGCGTAGGCTGGAGTACAGGTGTGTGGAAAGCTTTTACTGCTTTGACGATCTGGCGTAGGGTAGCATAGTGTTGTGTAAAAAGACGTACTTTCTGCATCAAGTTTCTACGCTGAAAGTACGCGAAAAAAATTAAACATGTTGACTTGTTTTCGTTCATCTTGCGTACCCCTTTCTGTCCCTCAGCATATAGTAACATACCGGTAGGCCAGCGTAGTTGGTAGCAACACTACGCAACTCTACGTATTGACCCCACGCCAATTAGTGACCCGCAAGTGTCACAAATAAAGTATTAAAAATATGCTCATCTGACCCTAATTAAACGCCTAAAACCCCCGAGCTTTCGGGGGTTTATGGCCCCTTGAAACCCGTGGACCCCACTTCTATATTGTATATACACTCAACTCGCTGCGATCTGATCTCTCCCCCCCCCCCCCCAACTTTGAAGAACGTAACCCCCGAGCTTTTGGGGGTTTATGGCCCCTTGAAACAAATATACACTCAACTCAGGGTTTCAGGTTTCCTTCTTCATAATTGTCTATTTAAAAAAAAAACATTTTTCTAGTTCAATAACTAAGTTTTCATGCATTGATTTGATGCAAGAACTGTAACAAATAGACCCTAGATTGTGATTATTTCTGACCATAAATTTCGATAATTATTTTCAAAGTAAAATTTTCACAAGAAAATCAGACAGTCGTTTAAAAGCGTAGACATTATACTTTTACTAATTCTAAGCTCAGGTTTCGTAAATCTATTCACGAAACTATATTGAAATCGCGGCAATAATGATGCAAACCAACAGATAACAATTTCAAAGTGTCAAATCTCTTCGACTCGAGCTCAGCTCAGCTGTACTCACACACATAACACTCCAGCGTAACTCCATGAAGCTCGAACACCGGCGCCGCAGGCCTCGGACGCCTGCGGTGCCCGGTGCCTGTGTTGGAGATTCCTGGAGTTACTGCACTGTGATGTGTGGTGACTGAAGTTAGCTTGCGACTGAATTGTCAGTCCAATGGTTTTCTTGTCAAAACTTTCCTTTAGAAAATGATAATCAAAATTGAGTATACATGGCCGTAATAATCACAAAATAAGCTTTGATTTCATACCTCCATTCACGAAAACTATATAAAAATCGCGGCAATCATGATGGAAATAGGTCTCTAAGTTTGGACGTCGACGGTAAGCCCCGTTTATCTCTTGTGCAGCTACTACATGCAAAGCACATCCTAGCTACAACAAAGCACATCCTATAGAAAGATGCTTTACTCGGGTAATCCCGACCCTGTGCATAGTGCATTTAATACGCAACTTAATGTGAGTGGATAGTCATCGGTCGTGTGTCTACGGATGCAATGTTGAATATCCATGAGGTATCTCTGTCGTCACGCATATCCTGCATTATGCATATCGTGTCTTTTTTCACCCTGGACGTCGACACGGAGGAGGACCTCGGGCGGAGTATAGCCAATTCCACAGAGTAAACTCTCCCGCGGACGATGGCACCGGGCACGGGTATCCCGAGGGGAGGGTTCAGGAGGAGATAGCCGCACCAACTTCGGTCGGCGATCTCATTAAAAAACAATAGAATACAAAGGCTCGCCGAGACGTCGCGCCCCCCGCGGAGCCTTAGCGTATTATTATTATAGATATGTATGAGCTCCGGTCAATTTACGCGCCAGACAAATCTTGCGTAGTCTCAGACGCAGGACCTTATTCTCAAAGCACTAGACACGAGTGTCGAGCTTGCGCATTAAATCATGCATGAGAAATGTTAAAAAAGATATTTCAGTAAAAAAATGTCTACGTGAGCAGTCTATACTCAGATTGAAAAGTGGATGAAAGTGGATGAAAGGGGTCGGTGAAAGGTCATGATTGGGTATGATTGCAACATGTAGTGGATGATACATAGTTAGTATTACGTATAGCTAGAGAGAGAGAGAGAGAGATCCAACTACGCATGCAATATATGCGATGCGATAATATGCATGCATGCATATCATATGTACATAGACTAGTATCATTCTGGATTAATGTGTCAATCTCACTGTGACTTGGATTTTGGAGGTCGTTCTAGTTGATTGTACACTACAGTGGCCTGAAATCATTACACTCATGAGGAAATCAAGTCATTGGAATATTGGAATAACAATCTAAGGTAAATATTAATGAATTAGATCTAGTTCTTTCCTTCTTTTTTTACTTGTAGATCTAGTAGTTGTACGTACATCGATGGTTCGATTTCAACTTCAGCCTGTATTGCGGCTTGCCTGGTTCGGTGTGTGCGACAGATTCAAGGCTAGCCGCTGATGATGAATCTACTTTCGTACAAAGTTTTGAACTTGTTGTCTGGGCAATGACACGCCTATTCCCTCAGGCCTGTCTAATTCTCAACGTAATTTCGAGGTCATGAAATTGATTGTTTCAAGGCTCTTACGTACGGCTAGGCGTAGAAGGAAGGGCCTACTTAAGAGCTGGATATCTCCTATTTTATGGAACTTCTGGAGTCGGCAGATGGGCGAGTTGTCTTTAATAGTGAAAGAAATTGCTTTCTTTTAATCATTGTTTTATTATAAACAAATTAGTAATTAAAAAGTTAGATTTTGGCATTGGCCTTCCTAACTATAGATTCTAACTAGACTTCTATCAAGTATGCCATGATAAATTATGAGTACCCTGTCAGGTAGGCCCACTGCAGCAAAGCACGAGTCAATGCTAATGCTAATATCAATTGACCTCTAGCACTGCACTACATGTTAATAGGCAGCATTTGCTCACATGAATAGTCAATACACACATAGGATCTATGTACACAATCATGCCGATGAGGCTGTAAGCAAAATTAGATAGTTTAGAAGTCTAGATTCTAGATCTACTCATCTAGATCTACTTGTCTCTAGGCCTAGGCCTAGACCTCTCTAGGACCTAGGCCTAGTCTCTAGTCTAGTCAATACTTTTTTACAATTTGAATTTTTAGATTATTCTTTCTAACAACATCGGTAAGTTGCAAAAATTGTGGTGTCATCAATTGTCACGAAAGTACCGATTTTTTAGTGAAATCTTGTACAGTGTTTGAAATTTTGAGAATCTATAGCACAGCACAATGCAATCGCATGACCAGAACTCAACTTCATCTTTAATACACAGCCAGGATAATGCAGCTACGTGGGTAGACCTAACAACCAGACAACAATTTCAACAAGTGGGACTGAACTTTAAAATATTAAACAATTTATTAACGATTGTCTCACCTTTTCTATACTTTTCAGCCATAAAAGGAGATAAATTTGAGGAAAATGCTTTAAAATAAAAATTTCCCCAAATTCTCTTTCTATCTAGCCTGCATGATCGATGAAATATTGTCAAAGTTCGTGTCAAAGTACGTGTCAAAGCTTGAACGGAACTCATCTTGATCAAATGGTACGGTCGCATCTAACCATGAACCTCCCTACCCTCCGAACCTACGTAGCATCGTTTTGAAACCAGCGACCAATAAAGGTTGCGGTTTGCACCTACCCTTCTTGGCTAGATAAAAAAGATGTTGTATTGATTGCCCTTTACGTGACAAAACATGGGTCGGTCGGTTGGAAATCTTTTTTTTTTTCCCCTAATTTTTCCTTCTTTCTTTCCTCCCTCTTTGGCGTGATATTTTTTCGGACAGTGAGACCCAGTTGATCATTACATCTCAAGATGTTGCACACTCTCTAGACCAGCCTAAGAGCAAGTTGATGCAGTTGCATTAGACTTCTCCAAAGCCTTTGACCGTGTTCCCCATAACCGCCTCCTCCATAAGCTCCTATGGGATCCATGCAGGCGCGTACGCAGGATTTTTTCAAGGGGGGGGGGGGGGGGGTTTAACATTTATAAATCGGTCCGAAAATTTCTAAGCAGGGGGGGGGGGGGGGGGGGGGTAAGAGGTCACTTTTTTTTTTTTGGTATCGAAATTTGGAAATTTGACATTTTGCTCAGTTGGGGGGGGGGGGGGGTAAGGTCACCTTTTTTAGGACGGCCGTGGGCATAATTTTTTTTTTCAAAAGGGGGGTTTTTGTTTTTTTTAGGGGGGTTTACATACATAAAATTACCAAAGGGGGGGGGGGGTTAACCCCCCAAACCCCCCCCCCCCCCCCCCTGCGTACGCGCCTGGATCCATGACAACCTTATCAGATGGATCAGGTGTACCTAACTGAAAGGTTACAACGTGTTGTTGTAGATGGAGAGTCATCTGAATGGGTTCCAGTCACCTCTGGGGTACCGCAGCTAGGGCACAGTTCTCGGCCCCCTTCATCAATGACATAATAGATGGGATCTCTTCCAAAATCCGACTCTTTGCTGATGATTGTCTTCTATACTGTCCGATCACTGATGTCACTGATAGCCAAGCCCTACAACAAGATCTCAACAGGCTGCATTCATGGGCTAACACATGGCAGATGAAATTCAACACCGAGAAATGCTACCACATCACATTCTCCCTACTTCGGAAAGCCATCACCACGACATACACGCTAGGAGACACTCCTCTTGCGTTGGTAACAGATCTCCGGTATCTAGGACTGACTTTCTCATCCAACTTGTCCTGGCAAGGCCACATGAACAACATCACATCCCGAGCCAATCGGATGCTGGGACTAGTCAGTAGAAATCTCCGCAAAACCTCGCAAAAGATCCGCCAACAAGCCTACTTCTCTCTTGTTAGACCTCATCTGGAAAACTGTTGCTCGGTCTGGAACCCTCACACAAACAAGCATAATTATATCCAAAATCGAGGCAGTACAAAGGCGAGCAGCAAGATTCACCCTCCAGAGATATCGTCGTATGGCCAGTGTCTCGGCCATGATTCAACATCTGAAATGGGAGAGCCTGGAGAGGAGAAGAAATGCTGCAAGCCTCCACCTCATGTACAAGATCCAAAACAACACAGTAGCCATCATGCACACCATTACACAGCACCCATAATTGCCAGCAACACACGACAGTATCACTCAAAGAAGTTGCTGGCTATCCCATCCCGCACCCAGCTCTACCAGAACTCATTTTTCCCTCGGACAGTAACTGCGTGGAAAGGAAAAAAATGAAAGAGAATAAAACAACAATAGAAGAGAGGTGCGAGAGCATGAGGAATTGTATTTCTTTAAAAGAATGATGGGATAATAATACAGTTTTAAACACTCGAGATAAGTTTTGCAAGGTATCACTGACGTACCAAACCACCGTCTTTGTGCATTGTGCAGAAACGAAGCATACAACGTCTAGCGACGTGACAGATCACTTTTCTCTAACTTCTAACCAATGAGAAGGCCTCGTTTTTTTCAGGAAGTGCCGGTGGACATTAATGCGCCAAATGTGATTCTCAAATTGCAAAAAAATCCCTACTCTTGGAAGGGGTATAGGAGAAAGCAATTTTACGTCATATTACTCCAGGAAATGCGCCTAATGTGGTTCTAAAATTGCAAATGCTTCCTACTCTAGGAGGGGGGTTTTGACCCCCGCTTGGTCGCTACGTTCCCACGCCGCTGACGCCTCGCTCTGTCGCTTCGCTCCATCGTTTTTCAAATATTTCACCCTATGCGATTTTGTGCCCCCCCCCCCCGGTAAGAAATTCCTGGATTTGCCAGTGGTAGATTTCAAAATTTTGGGGTCGGTCGCAAAGGCCAATACAACTTTTTTTTTTTTAAGGCCCTATAATTATGACGAAGACTCTGCTAGCGACCAATAAGCCAAAGCAACGACCGCAGAACTGAAAATACTCATCAAAAATTCGAAGTGTAAATGGTGGTTCAAAATATCGACGATTTTTTTTTGTTTGTTGTTGTTTGTTTTGTTTTGTTTTATTTTGTTTTGTTAATGGGCTGTGCATGGAATGTCATGTTTTGATTATTTGTGTCATAGCTTTACTTGGAATGGGTATATGATTTTCTGCTATGGTCTTATATCATTATTACTGAACAGCACATAGTTACTAGTAACATTAGTAAAAACAAAAGTTCATCGTGATTTTGTCAATGGAAAATCACACCACATGCCCAATTTCACTTGGAAAGTATGATTAAGTAGTTTATTTGCGATTGAAACACGACAAACATACCACTCCACTCAGAGAAAAATGCAATGTGCTCAGTTACGTGGAGTGGTTAATTGTCATTTCACCTACACATTCTGTTCGCATATTATAAGTGTTACCTTTGACAAGGACTATAGCCCCCTCCTCCTGGACAATCACCCCGGGCCACCAGAGCTGACCACCTGCTTATATTTAATTACAATAGACTATACGATACCAACATTGGAGTTGCTATTTCAGACGTGCTGTAGCATCACCAGGAGAAGAAAGGTAATGTGGATGTATTATATGGGTTCTAGGACAATTACTCCCTGGGCAATCACCCCCCCCCCGGAAAATTACCCCGGCGATGACAACTACCAAGCTTGGGTGTCGATCCGGGGGGAGGGTGGGGGATATATCCTCCCGATTCCATGACATTTGCTCCGGCGACAATTGCTCCGCTGTAAATTTCATACACTAATCGAATGGCTAACTTCAACCCTGGATTCAACACTATACCCTACCCTAAACCAAACCCTAAACCTAACATAAAACCCTATTGAAACCCTAACCCTACATCTTAGACGAAATAAAGCCCGGAGCAATTGTCGCAGGAGCAAATGTCGTGTCACCATCCTCCCCCCCCCCCCATATTTCAGGTGGGGGGGTGGCCTGTACAATCATCCCCCCAACCCCCCCCCCCCCCCCCAAAAAAAAAAAAAAAAAAAAAAAAAATGAAGAGAAAAATTAATGATGAAAGCCTGATGAGAGTAGTTAAAGGGAGGCTTTACTACCGCAGCTAGAAGGGATTAGACCACCCAGAGAGCCATCGAGGTCACTGTGACAGGTGGCTATCTCATTAACTCAGCTCTCATTTAACATAAGAAAAAGAGGATCATGGGGGACCAACAGGCACCGATTTTTTTTTGGGAAGTTTTCTATACGAGGGAGCAAGTAGCTACAGGTAGGACAGTGTGCCTTTAATGGTTATTACTCGCAAGATGAACATCAATATTGCTATCTCATTTTCATAATATATATATATATATATATGAATAGAAAACGAAGTAAATGAGACAACCGTATATGAGACAAGAATAAATTAAATTCTCGCTCATCAGGAATTGGTGAATTTATTCAATTTATTCAATCAACAGCATCATAGAAACGCAGTGCGCCAAATGCAAAGCCGCAGCGTTAATGGGTCCCATATTTTCTGAAACATGTGCCCCATATGGAAAACCATCTGGGGCCTGCATCTGCACCCAAGAAGCATATGGGACCCATATGGGTAAACCCATATAAGACAGATGGGACCCAGATGGGACCCATACCAAACTGGGCCCAAATGGGTATGCCCAGCTTAATCCCATCTGTTACCCATATTGGTTAACCCAGATATCTCCCATGTAACCCAGATTTTCCCCACGTGTTACCCATATGGGCGTATTCATATTCTACCCATAATGACTTGTGTACGCCCAGCTCATTCCCATCTGGGACTCATAAGGGCTGGCCAAGATGGATCCCATATGGGTTACTAAATATTGGCCCCATATGGGATACATAATGGGTTCCATTTAGCCCAGATGGCACAAGTGACCCAGATCATCCCCATATGGGCCCCATATAATTATATGGGCTTGCTACCTGGGGAAAATGGACAAGGGGAAGAAACGGGCAGAAGAAAAAAGGAAGGGGGAAGAGAAATGGAAGAAAGACAAGAGAAAGACGGTTTTGTCCAAATTGCAGCATGTAGGAGACGAAACCTTCAGTTTGTTCCCTGATTCATACTCAGTATCTATTTTGTTTTATTAATTTCATCCATTTCTTTGTTTATTTATATCTCTACATGTAACACATTTGAAGAGCTATTTTTCCGAAAGGAGCAACATCTTTTGATAGCAAATGGAGATAATGATATACATTTTCCTCTATTTACCTTGAACAAAATTATTAACCTAAATTACGAGAGAAATTATGAACACGTGCATCTTTTAACAACAATTTTCCATAGACACCTGAACAAAATCGGTTAAACAAAGAGTTCTTTCTTAGTGCCTCTTGAAAAAAAGCTCTTTGTATGTACATAAACAAGCAATATAACAGAATATTTGTTTTATTGAGAAGCTGATGTAGGCCTATGTATTGTATTCAAACGTAATAGGCATAAGATAGTTAAGGTGTTTTTGAAGGTTTTCACCCACCTTCTAAGACTGGTTATAGTTTTTGAAGAAAACAATAGTGCTCTGTTCAAGGCCTTAGGGGAATATTATGCTTATATTTTAGAACGTATCTGGTATGATAAGTATATATATCTGGGTGAAGAAGGAGATAATGGAAGTTTGTTGTTTGGTAGTTGGAACGTAAGTTTTATAATGTTTTTAAGAAACAGGCAGTTTGTATGAAATCA